GGTGGCTTTTGGGAACAACATATAAAGCCAAAGGTTTAGCACAGAACTGGAGGTATGTGTGTGTGTGTGTGTGTGTGTGTGTGTAACTGCCCCTGCCTCTGCCTGCCTTGCCCTGGGAAGGCAGGCTACGTCATTCTCACAGTGAGCAGTTATGCAAAGTTTAACAAGTCAGGTCACTTTTCTGACCTATTTTCTCATTTGTCAGGCCCTAGAGATTGAAGCTTTGGTAGTGTAGTGGTTATTAATCGGGCTGCAAACTGCAAGGTCAGCAGTTCAAAACTACCAGCTGTTCCGTGGGAGAAAGATGAGGTGTTCTGCTCCTGTAAAGATTTACAGCCTCGGAAACCCTGTGCAGGGTCACTATGAGTTGGAACCGACTCCACTGCACACAGCCACCACAGCCAGAGATTGAATCAGTCTATCGCTTTGTGTTCCTGATGGGATTAGGAGCAATGCTATGAATCCTTTAACAATCTCCCCAAATAGAGGGCACCCTCCCCCCATCCTTTCTCAAAGGACCTTAAAATTATCCCAGAATTTTGAAACTGGAAGAAAGTGAAGTGATTATCTCTTTCAGGGGCTCTTGGGTGTGTGTACGAAGATGTATTCGGAAGAACATACACCAATTTGACAATTTCGACATGTACAATTCAGTGATATTGGTTACATTCCTTCTTCACACCTTTTTCCAAATTGTTTCACCATTATCAACACAAACTCATTGCCCTCTAAACTTCTCTAACCTTTTGAGTTGATGCTGTCAGTTTGATTGCATATCATTCTTTTAAGATAACACAAAGCTCAAGCAAACGTTCTTTTCTAATTATGCTGAACGACTGTTGGGTTGGAACCAACTCCATGGCACTTAACTACTGGGTTTAAAGATGACTTCAGCGGATAGTTTTGGTTTAAGTTTTCAAGATTTCCTCTGGGCAATGGTTTGGGGGAAGAGAGTCATCAAGCCTCAATGGCTCCAGAAAGTCTAGATTGCATGAGAATTTGAAGTTCTGTTCCACATTTCTTTCTTTTTAACTTTTGACGAGGATTCTACTATAGAATCTCTGATCAAAATGCTTACTAATGACAGCAGGGCACCATCGAATCTTCTGTTCTCAGGGCAAATGAGGCAGGTGTTCATATAGGCAATTGTTGCTGTTGTTGTTGTCAGGTGCCATCAAGTCAGAACCGACTCATAGCAACCCCATGCACAGCAGAACAACACAATGTCCGATCCTGGGCCAACCTCACTACTGCTGCCACACTTGACGCCATCAATGATGTCACCTGATTGATCCATCTCGTTGGGGGCCTTCCTCTTTTTCTCTGACCCTTCGTCTTACCCAGCATGACATCCTTCTCCAGCAACTGTTCCCTCCTGACAATATGTCCAAAGTATGAGAGATGAAGCTTAGCCATCCTGGCCTCCAAGAAGCAATCTGGCTGTACTTCTTCCAAAACAGATCTATTGGTTCTTTTGGCAGTCCATGGCAATTTTAGTATTCTCCTCCAACACCACAACTCAAAGGCATCAATTCTTGTACGATCTTCCTTATTCACTGTCCAGCTTTCGCATCCATATGAGGTTATTGAAAATACCATGGCTTGGGTCAGGCGCACCTCAGTCCTCAAGCTGACTTCTCTGCTCTTCAACACTTTAAAAAGTTCCTGTGCAGCAGATTTGCCCAGTGCAATACGTCGTCTGATCTCTTGACTGCTGCTTCCATGAGTGTTGATAGTTGATCCAAGAAGAATGAAGTCCTTGACAACTTCAACCTTTTTTCCGTTGATAAGAATGTTGTTTATTTGTCCAGTGGTGAGGATTCTTGTTTTCCTGCCATTGAGATGCAACCCATACTGAAGGCTGTGCTCTTTGATGTTCATCAGTAAATGTTTTAAGTCCTCTTCACTTTCAGCAAGCAAAGTTGTATCATCTGCATGTCACAGGTTGTTAATGAGTCTTCCTCCAATCCTGACGCCACATTTTTCTTCATAGAACCCAGCTTCTCGTATTATTTGCTCAGCATACAGGTTGAATAAGTATGGCGAAAGAACACAACCTTGTCGCACACCTTTCCCAATTTTAAAACATTCAGTGCTCCCATGCTCTGTTTGAACAACTGCTTCTTGTTCCAGGTACAGATTCCTCAGAAGTACAATTAAGTGTTCTGGAATACTCATACTTCGCAATGTTGTCCATAGCTTGTCATGATCAACACAATCGAAAGCCTTTGTGTAGTCAATAAAGCACAGGTAAACATCTTTCTAATATTCTCTGCTTTCAGCCAAGATCCACCAGACATCAGCAATGATAGCTCTTGTTCCACGGCCTCTTCTGAATCCATCTTGAAATAAAGGCAATTAGTGACTACATATTCCATTCCTTCCTCCAATTCTAGGGTTTTTAAACTTGCGGGCCCTCAGGATCATAGGTGAAATCTCTGCAACTGTACATAGACTCTTCTGAAGTCAATGAAGCAGACCCACCAGGAGATGGTGGTAGTGCAGTCTTGGGGGTGGGGGGTGGTGGGGCGCGGGAGAAATAGGAACATATTTCTATTAAGTAGTTAGGTGCTACTAAGTTGGTTCCAACTCACAGTGATCCTATGTACAACAAAACAAAATACTGCCTGGTCCTGTGCCACACTCACAATTGTTTGAGTTCACTGTTGCTGCCACTGTGTTAATCTATCTACTTTCTAGGAAGTTGTTATTGTTAAGTGCCGTCTAGTCTAGTTCTGACTCATAGCAACCCTGTGTAGGGTTTCCAAGGAGCAGCTCGTGGGTTTAAACCATCAACCGGTGGTTAGCAGTTCAATACTGATCCTACAGCAGGACTCTAGGGAGTAGGTCCCCAGATTTCATACAATTTCTATGGTTGTCAGAACTCCAAAAGGTGAACTCTTCCTCTGGCCCAATCCTTTCATTTTACAGGCTGAGGCCCAAAGCAGGGAAGGGCCCCTTGATAACTAACTGGCAGAACCAGACCCAAAGTAGGCCTATGTCACCTGGGTCTAAGCTGGTCATCTCATTGTCCTTGCAGGTGAGACACTAAGAGCAAAGAAGTAGAGCCCCTCTGGGTCTGCTAGGGGACTCTTGCTGTTATATGTTTCCACATCAACTAACTGCCTTTTGAGATTTTGAGAGCTTGGGGACTCCCAATGTCACTAGAAGAGGTACTTAGCTAGAGCCTCACCATGCATCTGGTGAGGAAACAACTATCATTCCTGGGATCAATCAGCACATGTGTGTGTGTCTAGGGAGAAAGTGGCTGGGTACCTAGATTTACATAATTTACATCCAAGGTTACCACATGGTTGATGAAGGGATGGTATCCTTTGTAGAAATGCTGCAGCTAAAGCAAGTGACACGTGGAGTGAGAATGACTCTACTCAGTGATCCCTAATGAATCAACCAACGGAGTCCTGGGGCGGCACTCTAGGATAAACACTAGACCACAGTGTCCATTTGAATCGCAAGGTCAGTGGTTCAAACTCACCAGTGGCTCCTTGGAAACCCTTTAGAGGGTCCTCATGATGAGTTGGAACTAACTCCAAGGCACTTAACAACAATCACAACAATGAATGAACAGATCCAGGTGATGCTTCTGAGACTACTAAAATCCCTATAAAACTTACTACAAAAACAAAACCCCACAAAAACAAACAAAAATAAAAACAAAATCTGCTCAAGTCTCCTGCTCTGCCTTTCAATTTAAAGGAAAGAGGGGACAGGAAGAGCTGGTGAAATGACCACCACAGGGATGTAATCAGTAAGCCCAGACTCTGCAAAGTGCTGGAGGATAAATGGCCTCATTTCTTACACAATAAAGAAGAAAAAAAAGAGATGGAAGGGGAACCATAAATTAAGAGATTTATTAAGGGACATACCTTATTTGAGTCCTGATTCAAACACACTGGGGATATCTAAACAGTGAATACATATTTGACAATATTAAAAGATCATTGCTAATTGTTTTAAGTATGTTGAAAAGGTTGTTTATGTTATGAAAAAAAATATATATATATATATATTTTTAAATTCAACATCTGGAATTTGCTTTAAACCAGTCCAGGGGATGGGTGGGGTATGAGGGGTAAGTGGGCAGGAGTACAGATCAAGACGAGTCATGTGTTGTCACTGGTGAAGCTGAACCTTCATTAAACCATTCTTCATCACAAAAAGTCAAACAATCGTCTCCCATGTAGAATTTTCACAAAAAATTGTCATGAGTGGCTAGCGTTGGGGAGGAAAACTAGGTGGCTACGGAACAGGGAGGGGGAGACTAGTTTTCATTACTTTCTGCTTGTATTGATTTTTATATCATGGCTCAGTATATTATCTGTTTAAGAACATCAACTCATTAAAAAAAAAATCACCCAATTTAAACAACAAACTTCAAAGTGAACTCTTGATGATTCTTCCTTTTAAGAAATGCCTTTATTTCAGTTTCTTAAAAAAACCAAAACAAACACAACTGGGTAAGTACTACAAACAAGTCCCATCTCATTTAGAGAGGAGGGGCATGCCGGGGGGGGGGGGGGGGGGGGGGGGAGGGGGAGCCATCTGTGGGTTTGGAATGGCAAGGCCATATTCTGCCAGTTCTCAGAGCAAAGCTTCACAGTACAGAACTCTGCCTCAATGTCCCTAAGCTTGGCAGAGTGCGTGTATGCGTGCTGGAGGCAGGGCAGCGGTGGTCCGAGGCAGCCTGGAGCTGTGCTAGGACCAAGGCGATGGTAAGCTAAGGAGTTAAACTCTCAGAGCTGCCAGACAATGTCATTTGAAAACACAAGGTATGAAGTATAAATAACAGTCAGCTACTTTCCTTCAATCTAATATCTAAACAGTTGTGTGATCTATCAATTTATAAATCGATCGATTGTCTAATCCACCTTTGCAATCTTCCCTGCTGTTGCTGTCACTCTGACATCAGACTGGCTCTGGGGGGTGGGAGGAGGAAAGGCAATCTGCTGCCTGGCCCCGGGGGAGGAGGGGGGCATCGGTCACTGCAGCTCTTTGAGCAGGCACTGCACGTTGCCTGTATAGGGGTTCTGCTGCCCCAGTGCCCCCCGCAGCCGCACAGGGTAGAGACTGGGGTGTGGAGGTGTGAGCTCTTGGGGGCAGTAAAGTTCATTCAGGAGGAACCAGGTGGAGTCCGGGTCTACCTTCATCAGATGGAGGAAAATGCTAGAAGAAATGAAAAGGAGTCAATGGTAGGCACAAGGGAGGGGAGAGAGGGATGTGCTGGTGTTTTACTCAAGAGACAATTTACTGATTGCAGAACAAACCCACCGAAGATCCCAAAACGGGCCATTAGAATGGTTTTTAACACCTAACAGAAATAGAGGCAGACAGTTTCATATCCATTGACACAGAGAAGGAAAGTAATTAGTCTGTGCTGAACAATATTGATAGCAAATAGGCTCTTGGCAAAGAAACAGGTTGATTTCTGGGAGTAAAGCAGTTTTTGAAAAGAAGAACGACAGGATCCATCCTTTTTAGGCTCCGCTCAGCTCACAGGCAGTCAGGCAGGGACTCCCAGTCCTGCTTAGGGACCATGGGCAACTCTCCCAATTTCTGAGCCTCCAGGTCCTTAGGGACCCTCCAGCTTCTTGTTGAGTTCTATAGTTTCACCCTTTCTGGCTGACAGAGAGCCATAGATTCCTGGTGTTTGGATACATAGCCATAGCTCTGCTTTGAGGACCCGTTTACAGATAATGGGGATCAGAGCTGACAGAACTTGCTGCCCTTGAAGGCTGGAAAAGGGCTGAGTCCTGCCTCAGTGACCTTTGACAGACACATGAAGATAAAGAGCCTTGATCAGCAAACCTCTACTAACAGTGAGGTTCTTTGTCTTGGCTGGAACTTTGGGGTGAACCCTTGCTTACAGCCTGTTTCTGAGTGTGCCCTGACAGTCTAAGCATAAACTTCATACACCTGGCTGACAGGCATTGAACAGCCCAGGAAGGAGGTGGCGTCTTCCTCTCATGGGTCAGTGCCCTCTCAGTCAGTCTACTCATTTTGGCTTATGCATCATCTTCTCAGATATGCTGCTTTCCCTAACATTGTGTCTAGATAAACCCACCGGCATCAAGTCGATTCCAATTCATAGCAGTGCTATGGGACAAAGTAGAACTTTCTCCTGAATAGTGCTTGGTGGGTTCAAAAGATTGCTGATCCTTTGGTTGTTCCTTTAATTACTGCACACCAGGGCTACATGCCTAGGTAGACTGATCCTTTTCTCATTCAGAGCACCCCTTCCCAGCATATATCAATTACTTGTCTACTGACTGTTCCCTCCCTAGAATATAAGCTCCCTGAGGGTAGGAGCAAGTGTGCTATGTTGACTGCTGTATCCCAGGCACTTGGCATGGCGTGCAGCACACTGTAAGTACTCAGCCACTGCTTGTGGGCTGGAGAGTTTCTCATTTTTATTGAGGATTTGGTGACTTACGTTCCACACTGATGACATCTCTCCCTGGAATATTTCCATCATATACAAGGATCTGAGGGAGAGAGTAAGGAGCCCTGGTGGCACAGTGGGTTAAGCAACGGGTTGCTAATCATAAGGTTAGCAGTGCAAACCCAACAGATGTTTGGTGGGAGAACTATGGAGCAGTTTGCTCCCATAAAGATTTATAGTCTCGGGAACACTAGGGAGCAGTTCCCCTCTGCCCTGTAGAATCACCCTGAACCGTAATCGACTCTATGGCAGTGGGTCTGATTTCTAAGTGACAGGAGTGGTCACCCGCTCTCTACCAAGGAAGGTGGAAAGAACATTAGTAACAGGACTCACATGAGCACAAACAGAACTAACTAGATGGGGCTGTATGGAGTTGTTCACCGTTCCCGAGTTTCAGTTTTCCGGTTTTAAAAACGGGAGCTGTTCCTCAGGGTTATGCTGAGTGTTAAGAAGTGATCCGTATTTGCGCACTAACAGTATATGTTGTTGTTGTTAAGTGTCATCGAGGCGGTTCCGACCCATAGCGACCCTTTATAGGGTTTCTGAGGAGTGACTGGTGAGCTTGAACCACCGACCTTGCAGTTCAAATGGCTTTGCAGTCTGGCGCATTAACCCACAGCGCCACACCATACAGAGTAGCTATTGGCTGGATCAGATTTCATTCTTGAAAGCTATTCCTAGGAGCCTCTCCCATACTGTTACTGTTGGGTATCAAGTAGGAACTTAAATGCTTGCTAAATGGAATGAGATTTGGGTTTTTAATTTTGTGAATCTGAAAAACCTGGGCTTTGGGGTAGGGGGTTGTGCCTTAACTCTCTGAAACCAGTTTTGCCGCATTCCTTGTGTTTAATGAACATAAGCTAAAAAGGCAAGGAAAGCAGGTAGGTGCACTTTGAAATTTTTTCTGGATTGTTTTTTGCCTAAACAATTGAAGTTCCCTTTGCTTCCGATAATCTAGTTTTATAACCTCAGCGGTGGCTGCTGAAGAAGCGATTAGAATATTCTAATTCATCGTTTCCACTTCACCGCAGAAAGGAGACGGGGCCTGCGTGGGAGACAATTTTTGTTTAAAAACAAAAATATCTTTGATAATTAGAGTGGCAAGGGAAATTATGAAAAAAAAAAAAAAAAAAAAAAACCGCACCAAAAATGGGATGCAGATTTCTATTTCCACATGACACAGTTGACAGTTTTCCCTGGTGCCAAAGACCGTTAGAATGCAAATGGTTCCATTTGATTTGATTTTTTTTTTTTCTTTCCCCTTCAAGGACTGGCACAATTTGTCAAGCTACAGCATAACATACTCCCAGCTTCAAGGAGTATTTTTATCTGGGCAAGAACTAGCAGACTTGTGCCACGGCCCAGTTCAGTCACAGCTCTGCTCCACTTACATGACCTGAAAACACTGCAATGTTCACTTTTGGAGTTGGTTTTAACATGCTAAGTGCAGATGCTGTATTCATTGGCAGGAAAAAAAAGAAGGCACACTTTTTGCCCTTCGAGATTTCTCAGTCAAATACTAACATTTGCAAAGGAGAAAATGTGTGCAAAGTTCATCTTCTTTTATTAAGAGTCGAACTCTTGGAAGTATTACTTTGGGTATCATTTCTTAGCTTGTAAAGGAGTCTTGGTGTGGCACTGTGGAATAAACACTGTATGGCTAACAGCAAGGTCAGTGGTTCAAGCCAATCAGCTGCTCCTTGGAAACTCTATACAGGGTTGTTATGACTCATAATCAACTCAACAGCACTTAACAACATACAAAGAGGTGGACTCCCAGAGGGACAAAGACAAGGGCATACTCCTATTCCTACCTCGGTGGCTTGAAGCAAATTTCTTTGCCTCCCAGAACCAGACCACATCTCCCACCCTCTTACCAGGTTCTTTCTAGGGCTCACAGGAGATGAGGTGCAGGAAAACACTCTGAAGTGTCTCATGAAAACAATTTTCTTTCCAGTGTGTGTGTTTAAGGAATAATTATCACTACCAACCCAGCAGCACTACCACCCGTGGAAAAATCCTCAGGTATTTGTAAAAGGGCAAAACATGTGCCTCTGGGTTCACTCATGATGTCCTCCATATTGACTTGGCAGGGGGCCCAATTCTTAGCCAATGGGGCTCTAATTTTGCCCATTATTTTCAGGAAGAAACGTATGCAATGTTCCTTGCCCTCCACATGCCTGAGGTGGGAGCAAAACTATGCCATGCAACCAGATGGCTGGTAGGCGGGACTGTACTCTCTTAGTGAGCTGCTTGTGACCCACTGAACTCCAAATGCCGACAAATTCTGAACCTGGAACCTCATATGTTTTAAGCACCTGAGAGTTGGGCCACAGGTTTGGGATGACTTGCTTGCTTAGTGGCCAAGTTTTGCTCCAAACCCTGGAGTCACATAGTCCTAGGGTCAATTCCTGCCCAGCCTGAGCTGGAAAGAAGGTGCTCCAAGAATGAAAGCCTGGAAAGCCTGCTTGGCATACTGGCAGGCCAGAAGCCAAAGACAGGACCTTTGCTTAAAAGTGATTGGGAAAACTGTAGGGAAAATGTTCCCAATACATCTTGAGACATGGCAGGGAGGGCTGTTGAACACGCCAAATGACCAGTTGCATGCTTTTTTTTCACTCAAAGAGAAACACTTAGAATGTATATATGTGTGTGTGTGTACACCATTTAACTCCTGAACAAAAATTTCATTCTCTTTCCTCCAGGCCCAAGTCAGTGGCTCCAGGGAGCACAGTTATCAAGAGATTATCTGGTCCCCAGAGCATCTGGGAGGCACTCAGCTGTGCCTTGTGCCTCTGAGTGTCCTGAGGCGAGTGATTATCTCTCAATAACCTGTAGGGCTGTGTAGCTTAAATGATAACTTGACTTTAAAAAATTTAGAACTCGCCGTTAGGCAGTTTCTAAGCAACCTCTGTTTCCATGGCAAAGAAGCCTGGTGTTTATACTGATTTTTCACTTAAAATGCGGTTTTATTGAATTTCACTTCGTGCAGGCGGCCATTTCCTTGCACTCTAGCCCTATTTACGATTGGCGAATATCAGTGAGTACTAATAAAGCCTGGATGCCAACCCAACAGAAGCAGCTCATTTCTTTAGGATCAATATCGGGGAGCTCTGAGTGACCAAGCTGGGTGGGAGGGTGCCCACAAAGATGGGAAATGTGCTACTGCGATCTGGTGGGCTGGTTTTGGGTCCTTTCTCTTTGTGGTTCCCCAAACATTTACTAGCACTCATTTCAGCCCAGTTTCAGTACCTGCTCTGGGATATGAAGATGGATGGACATGGCTCTGCTCTCAGGATGGTGGGGAGGACCAAATTACAACTGCAATATGGTGAACTTCATGCTAGAAGTCACATGGTGGCAGGAGCTGAGGAAGCTTCTGGAGGGGGGTGAATGGCAGACAGTTTCTCTGTAAAGAGGGGGTGGATGAGATCCAATCTAAGATCTCTTCCAGCTCCAACAGTGTCCAGCAGCTTTCCTTCATGGGCACTGGATTTTAAATTGCCCCTCTCCACCACAATGTGGCAAAAACAAATAGAACCTCTCTGCTGCAGAGGGCAACATTACAGAGTACATCCTTGCACACTTGGAGGGAGCTCCCGAAAACTGCCGGCCAATCAGGGCCTAGTAAAGTGAAAGAAACTGTAGTGGAAATTCAGGCTTCCAGCTCTCTAGGGTGACAAGCTATTCTTTGTCAATTACTTGCTTGAGGGATCTGTTTGCT